AAGTTTGCCTTCTTATATATAAGCAACAGCAACAAGGATAGAAACACTTAAGTTTTATTAGGAAACGGAAAAACAGGAAAACGTCAGAACAATTCGACCACACCATAAATCTAACAAAAAATGAGTGAAGCTGCCAAGGGATTAGGCAACGAACATAGCAAACTCTAAAAACAAACTTAAAGAAACTGCAATACTGCCTGGGAAAAACAGGCTGTAATACAACTCCTTTTTTATTTTTCCTCCGAAAAACACACCAACCTTTAAGTAAACATGAAAACATATTAACATAAACTTTTACACAAACTCCTAGAAGAGTTGTACGCCAAAATGACAGGTAATCCAATCACAAAACATCAACTTTATAGAGAATTTTTTACCAGGCTCGCTCCTCTAGTTAGTGGCTGTTGTTGGCAAAAGGTTACAGGAATCTAGTCAATCACTTAAAGTGGCTGTGGGTTTGAAACTAATTGAAGGTGATATGAATCCCATAAAAAATGATTGTTAAGAAGACAAGACAACAGCTAAAAAAAACTCTACTCAACTACAAGGATAAGAAGATGTAACTGTGGCATAAACATTAGTTGAAAAACTCTAAAGAAGTAAATTTTTTTTCTGCTAATGCAGGTGAAAGTGATAAATGTATTGATGTCTTTGTGGGGCGTGCATTACAAGTCTATGTGAAGAAGAAGATTGATAACTGATAATGATGTGTAAAGTAGTGAGGACAAAAAGGAAATCAGTTAGATGAATGTAAATGGTCAAAGTGTATAGTCTATAGTTAACACTGCAGTGAAATACATTTTTCTTTACTCAACTTTGATGTTAGTTTTTGAGTTATATAGAGTCATCAACAGATTTTATAGATTGTCTAATATAACGAGTGATAAAGATATTTTGCTGATTTTCAGTAAAAATACTACTATTTCAAAATAGCTGCAATTTGATAAAAAAAAAATCGACTTTTGTGTTACTTTTACATCTACTTAATGAAAATAGCTATATTTTGTCATTTTTTCCTTCTTTTTTAAAACAGTAGTAAAAATACTACTTTTTTTAATCTTTATATTATAATTTTTCAACATTTTCTTAATATTTTACACAATTCTTTTAAGATGATATAAAATTTTTAGAAAAATTCTAAATTTTTTTAAAATTTTTTAAAAAGTAGTAAAGATACTACTATTTTAATATTTATTCCAATTTTAATTAAATTTAACTTTTAATTATTTTTTTAAAATTTTCTATATAAAAATGTGCAAAGTAGTGAATTTTTGTAAATTTATGAATTTTTGTAAATTTTTTAAAAAGGAGTAAAAATACTACTATTTTAATATCTATTCCAATTTGAAATAAATTTAACTTTTAATTATTTTTCTTAAATTTTCTATATAAAAAAGTAATTTTTGATAATTATTTTGAACTTTTTAAAATAGTAGCAGAAGTACTACTTTTTCAAATTGTTAAAATATTCAACAATTGATTCATTAAATCACTTTTTTGTTATTTGCTATAAATCTATTAAGTTTGTTTTTGAAATTTGTAAAAAAAAAATTTTAAAACATTTTTCAAAAAGTATTAAAATACTATTATTTTTAAATCGACTCAAATTCGCCTTATTTATTAATTTTTTTTTTTTTTTTTGTTGTTTCTTATATTTTTTATATGAAAAAGTATTATTTTCTTAATTTTTTGGAACTTTCTAAAATAGTAATGGAAATACTACTATTTCAAATTGTTCAAATAATCAGCAAATCAAGTTGTTTTGTTGTTTTCTACAAATCTATTAAATTTGTTTATGGAATCTGTAAAAAATCAAAATTTTTCAAAAAGTAGTAAAATACTACTAATTTTAAATCAGCTCAAATTCACCTAAAACTTCATTTAATTAATTTTCTTATATTTTCTTGTATGAAACAGCAAATTTTTATAATTTTTGAGAATATTTAAAATAGTACTAAAAATACTACTATTTTTAAATCAATTTAATTCACCTAAATCCTCATTTTATTTATCTTCTTACATTTTTCTATATGAAAGAACAAAAATTTAATATTTTTGGGAATTTTTAAAATAGTACTAAAAATACTACTATTTTTGAATCGGTCCAAAAACCCCTAAAACATAAATTTATTTACTTTCTTACATTTTTCAGTATGAAACAGCAGGATTTTAAATTTTTTCTATTTTTTGATATTTTAAAAATAGTACTAAAAATACTACTATTTTTAAATCGGTCCAAATTCACCTAAAACATAATTTTATTTACTTTATATATTTTTCTATATGAAACAGCAGAATTTTAGCATTTTTTGGAAATTTAAAAAATAGTACTAAAAATACTACTTTTTTAAATTTTAGCAAAATATTAAATTTCATAATTTTTTAAATATTTCTGTCAAATCAAGAAAATCATTAAGCATTTTTTTAATTATTACTTATAAAACGACAAACTTAATTTAGGCTTGTAGGGTATTTATTTTTTTAGTTAATAAAAGAAAATAGATAGCATTTCATTTTACATTTATGTATGTTGCCCAAAAAAACTTTACTTTTTTTCATGATTTATTAAACAAAAAATATTATATTTCCTTTTCCGTTTGTCAAATGGAAAAACTTCTTTTATTTTTTTTTTTCGCTGCTACTTAAAATGTCATAAAAATCTGTCAAAATTTTCTTTTTTACAAGATTGATGATTTAACACAATTTTTGTTTCACCTAAGACATTAAAAATAATTGAGCTTAAAGAAAATATAGACACAAATATCAAAAGTTATATATTTTCAATTTCCTTAGAGCAATTGACTTCATTTTCAATAATTTTTTTTACCTATAAATGACAATAACAAGCCATAGATGAAGCAATTTTGTTAAACAACATTCAATTTAAAAGTCAAATAAATTTATTTTAATACTTAGACAACAAATAGAAATACAAGGCAATATAAAATTGAGGAGGAGGGGGCAACAAGTGTTTGTGAAAGCAATGAGAAATTGAATTTATAATCTTGCTTTTGTTGTAAAAGCCATATTAAATTTCCCACTTAATAAAAAATAAATAAAACAAACAAAATTTTGTTAAGAAACATATTTATTTTGTTGTAAAGAAAGACCCCCCCCCCCCACTTAATACATATTGTCTTGCATAAATTGCTTTAGAAAACCAACAACCACAAATTTCCTTTGAAGGTTTTAAACAACACCTGACCATCAATTGCTCAGCCATTTGAGTCTTATTCTTACACATATTTATATTAAGGGTTTGAAACAATTTAATTTCCTTAGTTTCTAATAAAAAATGCTAAAATATGCGCATCTATTGCTTTTACAATTACAAACATTTGCTTGGTTTTTCATTTTATAAATTTCATTTTATTGATCACTTTATAAATGATTTTTTTCCTTTTGTTTTAGTAAAACTTTTGTTGTTTAGACTTGGTCATATAGTATATTTATTACATGTTTGTTTATTGTTGTTGTTATTGCTGTTATTCAATTAATCACTTAATTGGCCATTAAGGTGTAGCACCTGTGTTTCAAATACTTGTGTTTCAATCGTTTAATAAAAATTATATGTTCGTTTTAAAACATTTAATTGGCTTTACTCCCCCTGAATTTTCAAGCATTGATTCATTTCCATAATTGTTTCAAGGGGGAAAAATGAAATTTAGAAATGTATAGATTTTTTTCATAAATTGATAAATTGTTGGTAATTTAAAAGATTTTAAGCTTTTTAAAGAAGCAAAATTGTAGAAAACAGTATCGGAACACCATTCGATTGCTCCGATTTAGTTGGTTTCGAAAAGCAACATTTTCGAAATGAAATGATTCAAGATTTGGTCCCCGAACATATTTGGGGAGTTCAAAGAATAGTTTTGCAACAAACATACGGACAGATAGACAGACATACGTACATCGGTAAATTCAATTCACTATCTATAAAGTTTCTGAATGGTGGGTTCAGAAATTGGTGGGTTCAGAAAATTGTTTTCAACAAACAGATAGACAGACATACGAACATCGCTAATTTCATTTTATAAAGATTCCGAATTGTATTAACAAAGTATTCAAAAGTAAAACCATGCATATTATTGGAAAATAAAAAAATATATTTTTAAAATATTGTCTGCAATCTTTTTAAAATGGGTCTCAAAAATTGCTTAAACTGTGAGAAAAATAATTAAAATATTTTTATTTAAGGGGCATATAAAGTCCAATTTTGAATGGGTCTATCAAACCCATTATTAATTATTTTGTGGACAAAAAAAAACAAATCAAGAACTTTCGTAACTGACTTTATTTCAAACTTAATATTGGCAATACTGTAAATAGCGGTTAAACATCAAGAAGCGCCATCTTTTGTTTATTCAAGAAACAAAAATAAAATAACAAAAGCTTTCATAAAAGCTTATTTATAACATTATGACAAAGAGTCATACCTAAACACACATAAAATATTAACAAATACATCTTTAGCTTCCTATCACTCACCTCTGCCACCCACACAAAACTATTTAACAAACAATACTCTCTTTCTCTCAGCAACCCCTGAAAGTAGACAACACTACAATAAACCCACAATACAGCAACTAACAAAAAGCACTTATAAAATATAACTGTTATTATTATAACGGTGCTTTCCTCTTTAAGCTTTACAAGTATTTCCGTTATAAAAAAATCTTACAGAAAAAAAAGGAAAAAAAGTATAAAAGAGAAAAAAATTACAGCAACAACACCTAAAGACATAAATAAATAAAACTTTAGAGTTTTTTTTTATACGCCTTATTACTTCAATACACAACTAATGCTATTGTTGTACAACTTGTGTGGCTAAAGGACTTTTTTCCAAAACAACAAAACAGAAGAGGAAAGAAAGGCATATAACAATATATAAATATGATTTAATAAGCAAACCATAATTTCATTCCTACACTTTATCAGTCAGTTAAGAAATAAATTTGAAAAGAAGTAGCAGAAGCATATAATAATTTTCATACACTTACCTGTTTCTGCAAAGTATCCGCCAGCTCTTCCAAATATTCTTTACGTTCGAAACGTTCAAATTTAAAACTGTTGGAACGATAAAGCTCATTGTCATCACGACGACGATTCCGACATAGACGTCTTGTGATTATATTGCCACCACTGCCGCTTCTTTGCAATTTGATTACAATGTTTTTTTTTTATTTTTTGTACATATTTCAAAGGTTTTTGGTTACGGTGTTTTTTGTTGGCATGAATATGGTTGTTTTATGTTGTTGATGATGGTAGTGGTGGTGGTAGTGTTTAAACAAACATGAAATGTGGAAAAAAAACAGAAATATGATAATAATAAAATGAAAGAATTGGCAATACAAAAGGTAATAAAATTTGTTAGGGATTTACAAGCAGATCAGCCAGCTGTCCACAGCCAGATTTATAACATTTCAATAATGATTCAAGGTCTATTCATGATAATTTCTATTTGTTTAAGGTAATGTTATTATTGTATTCATGGGGTTTTGTAAGCTTTTGTTAAATTTAATTAATTTTATGAGTATAGAATACAAAAAATCAACGTTTTATTTAAAACAAGTTCTTTTATCTTAAAAAAAAACCAAACCATTTGTACAGGTATGTGTTACTTCCGGTGTTAGAACTAACACCTTTATAACATTGTAATCACCATCATCATCATCTTCTTTTTAATATATATATTTACATATATGTTTGTGTGTATGAGTGCTTGTCTACATTTATGTTTGTAACTATTTTTTTTCAAATTGTTGCTTGCTTTACAATTTTTTTCATTTTGTACCAAAAACATAAAAACCAACTAAAAAAAAAACTTCATTAATGTTGAATTTTTCCACCTACAAACCTTGTTTTTAACTCCTTAATTTCTTTTCAACACACACACACATGCCTATATACACAATTACACATATATGTGTGTTTAAAACACATAGTAACAAACAAATATATACATTAGTATGGATCTTAAAATGAAGTCAAAATTTTAAGTTTTCAATTTCTTTAATCCCCAAAAACATAACTCTAGCTCTTGTACAACGATGAAAGGTGTTTGAAATAGTTTTTCAAAATTTTCATTCAAAATTTGATTTTTATCAAAAATTTTTCACCAGAGTCCTGCTAATGTTTATTATTATTATTTTTTTTTTTTTTTTTGCTCGAGTGCAGGCTCATTTTTATGTAAATTGTTTGTTTGTATGAATGAAATTATATGAAAGGCTTCATACAAAACTTATATTTCCACATACAATTATATTTGGCGTTACAGTAGAAGGTGGACAAAAGTGAATCCTTTAGGGCCCTTTAGAGATTTGTCGCAGCTATTAGAATGTTTCAAAAATTACGTAAGAATATTGATGTTAAGTTATCATCAGACTTATCGGTATTTTAAGAGAAGTAGAAGACCTAAGTGATTCATCAGTTATTAAGGAGGGTGACCCCCATCCCTCACTCTTTAATAAATTCCCTCATGAAGTAAGAAGAAAAACATTCTATCTTCGAGATAGTCAACTGGAGCTTTATCTAGACCGGAATGGAGCTTTACCATTAGGACTATTGACAACCATTACCTGAATGAGGTGAGGGTAAACCTCCTCCCTCGCTCTTAAGTACATCCATGCTGATGACGACTTCCACCTATATCTTCCCGAAGAAAAACTCTCTCAGAATAGCACTGATATGAACATAGAAAAGTTCGAAAAGAACATTTCGGAGTTCTTTAAGGCTGTCAGCACACAAACGATAAACCCAAAATTGTAGAACTATATCGTGAATGATTTTGAAATAAGTTTTCATCACTTTCAACAACAATCCACTGTGATTTAGTTGTTATTTATTGTTTTATTTAGGGAGTGTAAAATATTTATATTTTTGTTTTAACAGCAATATTTTCCATTAGTTTTATTTTATTTTTCATAACTTCTTAAGCGTATATATGGGGAGGATACATGTAAATGAATAAAAACACACAGACACAGACATTTTTGTAGGCATATCTATGTCTGCATATGTATATTTATACCGTATAAGTATAGAATAGCATACATATGTGTATAATATGCTGTTTGTTAATGTTTATATTTATTTTAGAAGTGAGAAAAAGCAACAAAAATGTAGGACAAACACACATGCATAAACATACTACATACACTTACAACCAATTCATCTTTATCACAAAGTCTGTGTATATATAGTAAATATATATTTATGTTTGTATGTAAAAAAATACTAAATAAATCCTTAAGTATCAGTCCCACACAACAACGTATGTTTATATATGTTTGTTTTTTTTTTTAGTCACAGTCTTCTCATGCTTTTTTGCCTCTAATAATATTGAAAGAATATACATGTAATTTCAACAACAAGAGGAGGATTCGTCGCATACACCTCCTGGAATATATGTTTTTTAATAAAAAGAAACAAAACATCAACAACAACAACAAAAACCCCCTCTCAATACAATGACTGAAGAGGGAAAAGAATTGAAAGAAAAACTACAACACGAGAGATAGTAGACCATAATAAATGAAGCTAAAATAGTGTTACCACACTATTGCCAACAAAAAGTGAAAAAAAACAAAGTTTTATGATTTAACGATAACACTTGCGAGGCAAAGAAAGGGGGGCAAATTGTTAAGTAATTTGGCAGTTGTTGAATGTTGAAAGAATGCTTAATTAGAAAAAGTATTGCAATACATAGAAATTTAAAATCTATGCCAATTTTGAAGCCTAAAAAGGACAAATTTATTTACTCACAGAATATGTTAGTAACCAAGTGCAATTACTTTCTTTTTACTTTAGAGTTAACCTAAACAGAACCAAGTGGATTACGACTATAAGGCAGTGAAAAGTTCCTTAACAATTTAGCCACGTTACTGCAACAAACACTTCATCATCACAGATGTAGATAAAGTAACAAAATAGTTGTAACTATGGTTGCGATAAAAATAATAATAAAAACACAAAACTTTATTTTAGAATTGCAACACTTAACTTCTGAATGAACAGCTTGTGGTCAAGTTACATCTTTTTTCCAAGCGAATTCCACGTAATTTTTTTCTCCCAATTCTCTATACAAAAACTAAGAGTTTTCATTCATTACTAGCTAAAATGCTAGTATGTAGTTTGCATTCTTTAAGAAATTAAGTGCATAAATGTAGGGGGCGAATATTTTACTGTATGTGTGTGTAATTTTAACAACACTTAAGTTTAAAAATATTTAGGCCACAAAGTACTAGAGAACAATGGAAAAAAGGCAGCAAAATGTTGTGTTAGAGAAAGGGGTGGCTAGATAGTGAAAGGGAAAAGTAAAACATAAAAATAATAAACATAAAAACTCTTCAAAAAATGCACCTTTTGTTTTACAATTTTTAAACATATACACATACAATAGCCCATTAACCCGATATGTGTACCTACCCTTCAAACATTTAAAAGAGAAAACTATTGCGCATCACCCCAGACGCCACGTCAGAAACACTTCTGGACGATTGTCAGACGAGAACGCACATTTTACAAAAACAAAATACATTGATTTCGAATTTTCGTCTTCTAGAAATATACTTTTAAGTTACTTCCGGATGATAGTTAGAAGAGTGCATCCATTTTGCTTAAACAAAAAACCATGTCTGTTGAATTTTTTTCATCTGGAAGTATACGTTTTAGTGACTTCTGTAAGAGAGTTGGGTGAGAACACACATTTTACAATAACAAAATACATTGTTTCCTAATTTGTATCTTCTTGATTTGTACGTTTATGTCACTTCTGGAAGACAGTTTGAAGAGTGTTCACATTAATGTTGTATTTTATTCATCTGGAAGTGTGGATTGTAGTCACTTCTGTACAATTGTCAGACGAGAGCACACATTTTACAAAAACAAAATACATTGATTTCTAGTTTTCGCCGTCTGGAAGTATACTTTTAGGTTACTTCCGGATGATAGTAAGAAGAGTACAAAAACAAAAAAATATAAATACTCCATTTTTTAGCGTGAAAAAAAAAATAAAAATAAATAATGCAGAAATTTTGCTAAGTTCAGTGATGTTTTGTGTTTTGTTCAGTCATGTTCAGTTTTAATTATTCATCGTAAAACTTAAATGAGTTATTGAATTTAATGTTCATAGAAAAATAGTGTAATTAAAATATTGTGAATCTTAAGTAATAAAAAACAATATGACAGTGTTGTGTTAAAAATCAACTGTTAATAAACATTTAAGAAGGTTTTCTCAATTGGCGAAGTGTATTAAATATATACCAAAAAGTATAAGGAAGGATTATATAAATAAAATTAAAAAGTAAGTTGTCATATTAAAATACTATTTTAGGAATATGTTAACAACTCTAAACGGCTTCCATTTCCATTATTTTCAAAAAAGTCTAATATGTTTCATTAAAAATGTTTTTATATTAAATTTCGACTCTCTCTTAATTCGTTTAGGAGGTATAAGCATTTAAAGACTTTTTCAAGTTGTACATTTCGGCTTTCATTTGATGAACATTGCATTTTTAACATATTTAGATTTATTTGAGTTAAATCTTAACTTTCAATATTTTTAAAACTATTTGCGCATTTAGGTCTGGAATCATTATATTGAAATTAATACTACTGTTTTATACATAAATTATTTTTTGACTTGGGTCACTCGACACGAAATTGCCCATATAAGATATTTAATATTGAAACCAGATAGTTTTAAACCCACCTTTCTTAAATAAATACAATTTTATTAATTTCCATATAGCTTTGGATTTAATTATTCTAATTATAGGTACTTTTTTAGTTATTAACACCAGGTCTTTCTATGACCTATCATATGATACTAATATTCTTAATATTTAGCATGCCGTTCCCAAGATATTGAACCTAAGTATTAGAAGAGAGCAAACAAAAAATAGTATTGCAATATTAGTGTCAAAAGCAATATCCCGTTTAGGGTCGTTAAGGTGTTTCTATCGTTAGTGACTGTAAATAATTTAAACAAGTAAGAGTGTTATATTCGGCTATGCCGAATCTTATATACCCACCATCAAAGCTCGTTTGACTCGAATGAAACTTACTTATGTCGAATTTCATCTATATATTCGTATTATTAGGCCAGTTATAAGCGTTAAAGGAATTTTCTGAAGGGGACCTTATATGGGGGGTAGGGTCAATCATGGACCGATCAACATAACATTTTTTAGATAGATTTTGACTCGTATGAAACTTACTTATGACGAATTTCATCTATATACTAGAATTTTTAAGCCAGTAATGAGCGTTAAAGTCATTTTCTGAAGGGGACCTTATATGGGGGGTAGGGTCAATTATGGACCGATCCTCATAAAATTTTTGGATCACAAGAAACTTACTTATGTCGAATTTCATCGCTATATTCGTATTTTTAAACAAGTTATGGCTGTTAAAGCTGCTTTTCGAGGGCCACTTGTATGGGGGCTATCCGAAAACGTGGACCGATATTGCCCATTTTCAATACCAAACAAACCTACCTATAAGAAATATTTATGTGAAATTTCAACCCTCTAGCTCTTTCCATTCGACTCTATCGTGCTTTCAACAGACAGACAGACAGACGGACGGACGGACAGACATGGCTAGATCGTCTTAGAATTTAATGAGGACCCAGAATATATATACTTTTGTGGGTCTATGACCAATATTTCGATGTGTTACAAACGGAATGACAAAATCAATATACCCCCCATCTTTTTTGATGGTGGGTATAAAAATAATCCATGACTTAGTAATTTCAGATCTTTATAGACGGTTTAATTCCAAGTTATTGAAAAAATGTTCATGAAAGGTAATGTTTTTATTGATTCAAAACAATAAATAAATAAATTAATTAATTTTTAATTATTTTATTTTTTAGAAAGCAGTAGCTAATATTGTACCCCCTATTAAAATACTTCTAACCGAATTAAAATATAAAAAAGGGATCTGGTAAGTTATATATGTCTTATTTCATCACGTGGTTCCATTAAAAATGTCGATTATTTGCAGAAAATGTAAAAAATGGATCTGACCGTTTAAACTTTGGTGGTAAATGTATTGGACATGAGAGAATCCTATTTTTATTGCTTCCTAAAGTTAACTGGTAATTTCAATAAATATTCAATATTAATTATAAGATTATTTTGGTTTATTTCGTTGAAGGATTAATGCGTTCCATAATATAACTCTTACAATTTGATGGATTAATCATAAAATTGATGAAGAACTACAAAAATATTTTAGAGTCCAACGTTTTACAATTTTCGGAAGTATACCAGTCAGCAGTTGGAATATTAATACAGATTCCCTGAAAATTATCTTATTATAAGGTAATAATTCTAAATTTTTGATACATATGTACATTAGACCGACTCACTCTGTATGGAAAACAAAAACGTGTTTTTGTTACCCCTCCCAAAATTTACCTTGCTTTGTTTTATGATGATTCCCAAAAATTTTTTAAGTGACCGCTGGACCAAATTTAAAAAAGTTATTTTGGAATTATTTTTTTAAAATTTTTGTTTGTTTTGAAACAAAATATCCAATACGGGTATCGTTTAAAAGGTATTTTAAAGTCGCGTCCAATGATGTATTAATCATAAATAACCGTTTGCTTATAATTGTCATATTCCAAAATATTTAAAATTGTTAGGTTTTTACTAAGAAAAATGAAATATATGCACAATTTTGCAAATTTTGCGCACCACTAGACTTGGCTTCAAAAAACCTTTCAAATGATACCACATACTGTATATATTGTTTAAGAAATGCTGTATAATTTAAAACAAAATAACTAAAAAGGGACTTTTTTGTAACCGGTTCAGCTCACGAACGGCCATCGACAGACTAGAAATATTTTGGGAACCATTATAAAACATAACAAAGATTTTTTGAAGCTGGATAAAATATTGAATTTAACATGAAGAATCGTGTTCCCATACGATATTTTCTTTAAAACTGTCCAGCTCACGAATGGACAACACTTAAGCGAAAATATTTTCGGTCTAATGTACATATATTACTTTTTTTAGATTAGTTGTTAAATCAATTATATTTTCTACTATTTTAATTTCAATTAATTCAATAAAAACTATAAAATTTCATTTTATTTAGATTTATTTTTATAGATTTTATTTTGGTGAGTATACAAATAGAAAAAGAGAAAACTCATCTTCTAGAAGACGAGAATACTCATCTTCTAGAAGAAGAGAATATTCATCTTCAAGAAGAAGAGAATACTCTTCTTCTGGAAGAAGAGAAAACTCATCTTCTAGAAGAAGAGAAAACTCAACTTCTGGAAGATAAGATAGGAACACTTCTAGAGGATACTAGGTAGTCACTTCAAGAAGTGACTTCCTAGTCACATCTAGAAGAGTCTTTGGCAATACCTTACTTCCAAGAGTCATCTAGAAGTTTCTTCTGCGGGTCTTCCAGAAGTATCTTCCAAGTTACTCTTAGACGTTCCCCAGCTCGGCATCAGTTCTTCCCGACTGGTGACAAGAATTCTTATACTTCCGCAACATCGCTGGCGAGCTTTTAGCACGTTTGGAAGTTTCACACGGGTAACTTCCGCAATAGAAAATGTTTGTAGGGTAAGAATAGATGTCATTTCATATGAGAGAAAATAATGAAAGAAAGCAGAAGCCTTTGACACTTGTAAATAGTAGGAAAATAAGAAGAAAATAAAAAACTAAACAACAAAATAATCATAATAAACACTTGAATAAAAAAAAATAGAGGAAGGACAGACAGACTGATAATAAAACATACTACAATCTCCTATAACAACAACATACCTACAAACACATACACTTGGTCACAGTAATTGTATGTATGTATGTGTTTAAGAGTAAAGCAGTCAAGCACACAAAAGCAAAACGGAAGCTTTCTGTTTAACATACAAAGGATATGAACGAACCGTTATAACGTTCATTCTTTATTCTTTTGTTAACTTTTTTGTGTGTTCAACACAACTATTCGTTTACTGTGTCACTGCATGTGTGTGTGTGTAAATAAAGCCCAGCAAAGCAGACCAACAAACATGAAAAGTAAAAGTCAAAAACTCTAGGAGTTGAGTTGAGATGATGTTGTTGTTTATGATGAGGATGATGATGATTCTTCTGGCTGGGTAATGGCGCTGATGTTATTTACTCTAATGATACATGGGTTTTATATTTTTTTGCTTTCCCTACTTTAACTTCACCTTTCTTTCTATCTTTGGGGTTTACTACTACTATTTCTTTTTTCTACATTTTTTTTTTGTTTACTTACCCACATGGTTTGCAATGAGTCATCTGTAGATCCCAGTTCAAATGAAAGTTAAACATACGCAATTTGGCGACAGCACGTTGTCGTAGAGAAATATCCGGTGCTGCCGCCACTGTTACAGACGTTGTTTGTGTTGCTGCCAAATTGCCAGCGGCTGTGGATGCTTGTCCTGCTCCTGCTGCTACTGCTGTTGTTGAAGTTGTTGTCCCCATACCTAAAGTATTGGTTAGTTCACGTCCTGTACTGGGATTAGGATACATTAGGACAGTACCACTAGGTGCTGAACTGGCCATCATACGTGTGGAACGATGATAACGATGATTGGGTTCGTTGGACTCTTTAATTGTATAAAAACCACCGGAAGATCTTTTGATGGGGAAAAAAGAAATCAAGAAAATTTTATTATTAAAAACAAAACATAAAAAGATTAAGTATAAACACATACATATACAATTCTGTGATATCAGGTTAACTATGTATATTTCGAGTTATGCTAAGTTTCACATTGTTTCATTCTCAATTTTGAAACTTCTGGAATATTACGAAAAAAGCTTAAAAGCTTCACTTGAAAAATTATATAAAACAATTTATACACTTTTTCCTTGTTACCACAGATTTATATGTATGTATATGTTTTGTGTTGACAGCAATTTTAAAATATGCTTCAAATGGTCTCTTAAATTATCACCTGTACGTTTATGCAAATTTAAAAACATAAAAAAGCGGTTAAAATGAAAGGACAATAAAAAGTACTTGAAGCTAAGAATGATACTTTATAAAGTAGTATATGTGGAAAATGGACGGAATAAAATATTCATATACTTTGCCAACATCCAACTATTCCAACAGAAGCTTGGTAGTGATATATTACAGATTAACATACTTGCTTATGACCACTATATACTATAAATATTCCTCAGAACGATTTCCCACACGTTCATTTCTGAGCGAGTTCAGCCAGACTTAGGAATTCGCGATAATATACAAAGTTTGGAATATTATAACATAGATTCAAGAACTTTAAAGTTGTTTTAAACAAGACTTCGATTACAAATAAAGATTTATCAATCTCGTTTCTAAAGGGATTTTACTAATCATGTTTTGATGATTCCTATTAACCCTTAAACGGTTAGTCGTTACTATAAACCGAACTTCGAAATGAAAGTAATCAGGTTTTGATATTAAAGGCAATTTATAGATTTGTAAATAGGGAAATTCCGGATAATTTTCATTTGTTCTAATAAAATTTCCATTTCACCCATAAACTTTTGCTATCCACTGTTAAGACAAGAACAAATTTACACTTGAACTTATCAGCCATTATATGCTCCTCTGCCAAATCATACACAACGCACACACTCCTTCGCAACGTGCGGGTAATTATTTATGCGCGTTGACGTTTTAAACGTACAAGACTACTAAATCAAAAATTTTCCCGTCTTCTTGTTGTTTTCCTCAAAAAAAAATCCCAGGAAAACCCCACGTACTAACAAAAAAAAAAGTTAAAATATGTATGAAATTCTGAGAGTAGTGAAGTTTGGTTTTTAATCTTTTGTTATATATTGAGCTAAAAACTTAGGCTAATAAATCATATTAGCTACAACAACAACAACAATAATATACACAGCAACCTACAAAAATCAAACATAACCTATAAACTTCAACAAAGTTATTTCGATAAACTAAGTTTTTGCTGGTTACTTAGGTTTTTTTCTAAGGTGGAATATGAACAAAGTATGTATTATTTAGCAAAAAGAAATTGGGAGTTACCGAAAGTATTTGTTAGTTAAAGATTTGGATAAATTTGAATTTATGAGAAATTAATATCTAAATTAAGTAGACCGTCATGTGTTTTTAATTTGTGTTAAGTTAAGTTAATCATAGGTACCATAGTATAGCAATTTCTCAACTTTTAATAATTTGTCTAAATATTTTAGTTGATAGAAAAAAGTTATTTATATTAGTTAGTTTAAGTTGGGTTACCTTGGTATTCTATCCCCAACTCTATAAAAAAAGTTTCGAAGCAAACAAAGGACATTTTATATGCAATACAGGTATAGGCAGAGAGTCATTGAAAAGCTCTCTGTCTACTTTTGCTTAATTTCATACAGGTGAGATGATATACACGTTTGAAAGCCAGAGATCGAGAGGGTTTATGGAGTACTCTTTGCCGATCACTGTTTTCAATGTTGGTCTCTCAGATTGAGAGAGAGAAAGGGAAGCACAATAATTTCCTTTTTAGAGCAAAAGCAAATAAAATGCAATGTTTTTGACAGATGGAATCTTTATAAATTGAATATGAGATTACAAAAAGTTTTCTTTTAAAATTAATATAACAAATATTTTTAATTATGCCAAACTTTCTCAAACTATCTACTCATTCCCTCAATTCAATATTTAAAATTCATTTAACACTCCCTTGAGTAACCAAAAATTTAAAAATATACTTTAAAAATTAATATTTTATTTCAAATTAACCAAGGTAAGTATTTCCACTTTAAACTTTCTTGTTACTTCTCTATTAAACAACACATGTACAAAATGTATTCCCAATTTAGTAGACCAAATCGATTTTTATTTTCCCCGGTGTATGACGACTGTATATTTCAGTTTTTATGTCTACAAACATTCTCTTACATATTTAGATATTTGTGTATTTTTTTTTTTTTTTTTTTTTTTTTGGAGAATATTAAATGGAAGTGGTTTTTTGGAAAATTTACAGCAACAAAAAACTGATTACAATATTTTAAATTAATTTATGCAAACCACAAAAGTAGATAGTTTTTAGTATGTGGGTGTAAATTAGAATTTATATGTACGTACGTATGTGTTTTCAGAAGATAAAATACATTATACCTACAATAAATAGCAATATTAGATAGAAACTTAAAGGAATTAAATCGTCAAATGGTTAATTAAACAAAGTAAAAATATACAAAGAATTTCCTTTAATAGGATCCAACCAATTTGAAATCTTTGAAAACTTCTCAATATTTCTCCCCGCAATAAAAAAATCATTTAAAATCAATAGAGTTATACTATTTCTAAATTCTCTCACGAATGATTATTAAGCTTACTGTTCTAGGAAATTGTGAATAACAATATATGAAGAATGCATTCATTTAAACTCTCTCTTCATCTACAAACTTCATCATTTATTGATAGATTTCTATCCAATTCTATGTCGCTTCAGTATCTATCAAAATAACTTTCTTTACTTTCATTACATTTCTATTCATGGGTAATTAAAAATTGAAAACATCAAAGCCACAACCAGTTCAGGTTTTTTTTTTTTTTTTTGTCTGACAAAAAGGATTCTCTGGATTGAGATTATGTATATAATTAAACACATTTTAATACGTTAACAGTTAAGTATATTTGAAATTATTTGAAAGTGTTATAAAATCAAATTAAATGTATGATTTTAGCACACATATCAAAGAACACTACGGAAGTGTTGAAATACTTAAGTTGAGTTTTCAATCGATATAATGGAAATTTAATTGAGGCAAGTATTAATATGTTCTATTGATCGGTGAGTTGTAGGGATAATTAAATCATGAATAAATAAAGGTTATTCTGACCTAAAAATATTCATGTAAATCTAATGAATTGTTGATTTTTTTATAGACTAGACTATAGACTAGACTATGGACTAGACTATAGACTAGACTATAGACTAGACTATAGACTAGACTATAGACTAGACTATAGACTAGACTATAGACTAGACTATAGACTAGACTACAGATTAGACTATAGAGTAGACTATAGACTAGACTATAGACTAGACTATAGACTAGACTATAGACTTGACTATGGACTAGACTATAGACTAGACTATAGATTAGACTATAAACTAGACTATAGACTAGACTATAGACTAGATTATAGACTAGACTATAGACTAGACTATAGACAAGACTATAGACTAGACTATAGATTAGACTATAGACTAGACTATAGACTAGACTATAGACTAGACTATAGACTAGACTATAGACTTGACTATAGACTAGACTATAGACTAGACTATAGATTAGACTATAAACTAGACTATAGACTAGACTATAGACTAGACTATAGACTAGATTATAGACTAGATTATAGACTAGACTATAGACTAGACTATAGACTAGACTATAGACTAGACTATATAGACTAGACTATACAGACTAGACTATATAGACTAGACTATATAGACTAGACTATATAGACTAGACTATATAGACTAGACTATATAGACTAGACTATATAGACTAGACTATATAGACTAGACTATATAGACTAGACTATATAGACTAGACTATATAGACTAGACTATATAGACTAGACTATATAGACTAGACTATAGACTAGACTATATAGACTGGACTATATAGACTAGACTATATAGACTAGACTATATAGACTAGACTATATACACTAGACTATATACACTAGACTATATAGACTAGACTATATAGACTAGACTATATAGACTAGACTATATAGACTGGACTATATAGACTAGACTATATAGACTAGACTATATAGACTAGACTATATAGACTAGACTATAGACTAGACTATATAGACTAGACTATATAGACTAGACTATGTAGACTAGACTATATTGACTAGACTATATAGACTAGACTATAGACTATACTTAAAACTAGACTATAGACAAGACTTTAGAATAGTCTATAGTATAGGTTAGTGTAGATTTAAATTTTCGAAATACTGTTTAATCCAATTTTATAGTTCAGTGGAGTGGATATTAAACTCTAAATCCTGTTTAATAAAGTTTTGTCTAACAGTATTTTTGTAAAACGTAATATTACCAACATAGGTTTAGAAACGTTATATTCCTAGCCATAAACTTTTTCAAATACTTGAAGTCTTTAAACACTATCTATAGACCAGTTGAAGCATATTAGTCATAAAATTGTATAAATCTCATTAGCTTATAAATTAGATAATAAATAAATTTTACTTACGACATATTATCTCCACCACCGCCCACACAACTAACACCACTGCGACGAGGTCGCGATTTACGACGTCTGCGTCTACGCCTCTCCGATGAGGCGGTGCGAGGCTGCAATACATGTTGACTCAAAGATTTGCGGAACTGACCAGTCGCAGTTACCGCCAAAGGATCCGAAGCTACTTGCCCTATACTCTGATTGGTGGTATTAGCTGGCACCGCCATAGCGGCTGGTGCCGGAATTTGACCACTTGTCGCCAAACGTCTACCAGTAGCAGAACTAGAACCAGCCACTGCCACCACCACCTGGCCATCACCAAAGCCACCCGCCGAGCTGGTAGTATCTGTAGCATGTGCATGGGTTTTGGCCGTACGGCTGCCACCAAAACTATGATTCACTTTACGCCACATGCGCTCCATTTTGTTTTAAATTAAATTTTGTTAAAATTTTCTTTTTCGTTTTTTTTTTTTTTATTTTTGAGAATAAAGGGGGGATATTTTCTATCTAATTGTTAGTTAACTTTTAAATATTGACATTTGCGAATTCTTAGCAGCAGGAACTATAAATTATTCATATTTTCTTATTCATTCTTGTTTATGTTGTTGTTGTGGTTGTTGTGTGATTTTATTGTTGGGAATATTAAAATTGTATGATTTTAGTATTCCCCTAGTCTAAGTTAGAAATTAAGGAAGATGAACATGAAAAAGTTCAATTAACTCTGGGGAAGCATTTGGTTTTCTAAACATTGGTAGTTATTGTTGCTGTTGTGGCATGCTGTTGTTGTGAGGATGATGTGATGATGATGAATTTTTATTTTTTAGGTTAAGTACCGCTTAGCTGTTGCTGCAGATGCAAATGATGAATGCATAAAGTTTTTTGCCTACTTTGAGGCTTTATATTTTTCTATTTTGTTTTAAAAGAATTAATAGAAATGTGATTTAATTGGCAAACATTTTATTGCGGTTTGTGAGACTGTTTTATTATTCACTGTGTTTTAGATTCGTTGTTGTAGGTGTTTTTTTTTTATAAAGAGCACAAAATTCTTAAAACTTTATTTGATTAAAACTTTATTTGATCAGACAAATGACTTTCTTCTTTTTTTATTTTGTTATTATTTATTTCTTTATAATTTTATTTTTCTTTATTATTTATTTTTATGATTATTTGTTAACAATATACAATAAGGACACATTTCCGTAACGCACTAACACACACCTACATAAGCATAAAAAAACCGACAGCCTGTGTAGATGTGAGTCTTGGAGTAGATTTTATTCCACTACATTATCACGCTTACTTTAGCATTGAAGTGATTCATAAACGCGAAAGAAAGAAAAGAAAAAAACTTAAGCGAGACTTTTGTATATTTGATGTTTTATCGACATACTGCACTTGCTGCATGCAAAACTATGGAATTGAAGTAGATTTTTCGTATTATCCCGATTTTTTTGTTTGATTTTCAAAAAACACACATACACACGACAATTGTTCACTTGCACTGTCTAACACACATACGCCTGCAGGGAAACATTCACTAGTCTGGAGTTTAGTATAGAACCAATATAGGTTTCTAACTCCTTAACTGACTCACTCACTCACTTAATAGTTGATAGTTGTTGTTGTCGTTGCATAGGTAGATAGTTGTTATTGAGTGTGTGTATTTATGTGATTTGCACTTTATTTATGTATTTGTATGTAGTAGTTGTTGGTTACGTTTCCGTTTGGCCCGTGGGAAAACTACCCTACCACACTTGACTTTATCTTTAGAACGGAAGGTAAAACATTTTTGCTTAAAGGAAGACAACTAAGACTATTTTCTGCAGGACTTTCTTCTCACAGCACCACCATCAACACCACAAAACACACCAACATACTTAGTGTAGTTATGTATGTATGTATGTTCGAGAGAGTGTGTTTGCTGTTGTAGTCGATGTATACAAATTCAGTCGCCTTTAAATATGCTTGTTCGTATATATATTCATATGCTTTGCTTTGCTATGTATACAACAATTGATCCAAAGGAATTTTAACAGTATCAAATTTTCCTTATTAACACCCGCACCACCCCCTGGCCATGTATACACAAACATTACAAATTTCATTTATTGCTTTGATTTTGATTTCATTTTAAAGCCACCACACATTTTATTTGAATTTTCAATAATTTCCTTTTAATATTAAACACTTTTTTATAGATTTATCAAATTTTTCTTTTTGATAATTATTAAAATTTAGAGATTTTTCACGTTTTTGCTTTGCATTGGAAATTTTTTTCGATAAAATATTTGTCTACATCTATCTGCACGTTGCTCTGAGTCGGTGGAAAAACCTTCTAACAAAATGTTCATAAATTCACTCGAAAAAATTTTTTCAGTCTCTCGTAGGCAACAAAATTTATACATATCCTCTATGTAAACGTGAAAAAGCTTTTTTTCCAGCAATTTGACAGTTCTCTTTAAAAGTCAGTTGGTTTTTTTTGGGTAAATAACAGCCAACACCACCTGTCAGATGACTAATATGTCAAAATTTCCTTTATTAAGGCGGCATTTACAAAGCACCAGTTTATCCTGTTTGAGCCTTTGAATTCATTCAAGTCAATAGAGATTTCTGTTAACAATAGAATTAATCTCTTGTTAACGGCGCATGCCTAGTGTACACAGCTGCTGTAACGTTAAGCTTTAACAGTTGGTACAAAAAGCTTTTATGGTACTGAGAGTGTTTTAGTTTAATTATTGTGATTTGAAATAAATTTAATTTTTACTTGGTTAATTTAAAAAGTCCTAACGACGTTAATAAAATCGTATGTTAACCGTATATGTTAAAAAAGCTTTTGCTGTTGAAAGCTTTCTTTAAATTTTAATAAATATCGCTAGATAATGATTTGGTTTAAAATTAGTTTGCAGTAGTTACAGAAAGCTTTAACAGAAGTTAAAAGCTTTTAGTGTTTAACAGTTTGAAAAGCATTGTATAGAAAAAGGTTGCCAACTCTACGAATTATAAGGGAATGATGGATTGATAATTATTTGTGATTCGTAGTTCTACTTAATAGTTGGGATAGGCATGGACAATTTCAATTTTAACAAAGTACTAACTTATAACAAAAACAGTACTTTTTAGGTTTTAAAGTGATAAACAAATAGACTATGGACTATACTATAGATTGGAGTGTAGACTTTACTAAATATTGGAATATAGACTGGACTATAGACTAGACTATAGACAATACTATAGACTAGACTATAGACTAAACTATAGCCTACACTACAGACTAGACTATAAACTAGACCATAAACTAGACCAAAGACTAGACTATAGACTAGGTTACAGACTAGACTATAGACTGGACTAAAGACTAGATTTTAGACTAGACAAAATACTAGATTATACAGTAGACTATAGGCTGGACTATAAACTTGACTATTGACTATACTATAGACTAGACAATAGACTAGACTTTACACTACGTTATAGGCAATACTATAAACTAGACTATAGACTAGATTATAGACTATGCTATAGACTGGACTATAGACTAGATTATAGATTATATTAAATATTATAGAAACAAATTTTTTTAACAGTTTTCTTTATTGTAAATTTATTTTATAATTATTATTTATTGATATATAAGCAATGAAATTATATACAATAGAATCATTTATTCATATATTTTTTGAAGAATTGCTTTCGTTTCGTTTATAATGTTTAAATGCTCGTACTTATTTTAAGTTTTATTTTTTTCTTCAATTTTTTTTTTCATAATGTAAATTTCGTTGATAAATACCATATAGATTTTTTCTCATAATATTAAATAATAAATTTATATATATATTTTTTTCTTTTACAAACTAAAGCGAGAACATAAATAATGCAAAAATTTTAACAAAATAGGGCGAGAAAACGAAAAAATAATATAAAAAAATAATAAAAAGAAAGGAAAAACAGTAGGCAAGAAAATTAAATATGTAAAATGTCAAGCATTAGTGACAGCTGACATATAGATAAATATGTAAATCTTTTATAAATTTATGACTAAATTAAGTATAATAAAGTTAAATGAAAAAAAAATTAGGGGAATGTCATTGTCATTATAATTAGCAGCAACTTGGCCAAAAACATAATATAATACTAAACTCCTTAAAACATTTTCGCTAAAAGATGCCCGATCTTTTTGTTAGGCGAAAATAAGGTGTTTGTCTTTGCTAAAATAGTTTTAGTGATTTTTTTTTAAGTTTTAGGCATTCTGTTGTATTAAGTTTTCCCATTGTGCTATTAAACCACGTGATGAAGGAGCTTCTTCTGGAGTCAAATCACATAATTGAGCCAAAGAGACGGCCGGTCTCATGCCACCACCACCACTACCACTGCCAGCAGCAGCCGCACGTGATTGTTGCTTGTCAAAGTCAGGCATGGGAGAGACGCTGTAAGTTAAAATTTTTATATTCATAATTATTTTGAGTTTTTTTATAAAAAATTTTAAAATTGTTATAGTTTAATTACCTTCTAGAACTGTTGTTGTTTTGTGCATCACACATGTCACCAATTGATTTAGCAGCTCTTAATTTTCCAGGTCCATAACAATGTTCTACATCAGAATCGTCATCCTCGGTTTCAACGTTTCTGCAAGTAGTATTGTAATCAATTTTAATAAAAATATTTTTGATTTACTTAATACAATTTTAACACCAAAACCATTATCTTACTTTATAGCCTTAAGTTTCTTCTTCTACATATTATGGATTCTTGCTATATTCTTGGATCTTGATTTCTGCTACTTGGCTAATTATCTTCTATTAATTATGGTTTCTTGCTATTTTCTTCAATTTTAATTGCGGCTTCTCTTAACGCTTTTTGCAAATAATCTTCTATATATAATGGTTTCTTCCTATTTTCTTTAATCCTGATTTCAGCCATTTTCCATAAGGCTTTATCTTCTAATAATTATGGATTCTTGATATTTTCTTCAATCTAAATTTCTGCTGCTGATATTTTACAAGGCTATTCTCGATTTCAGCGACCTGTGATGGCACTGTCTGCACTTGCTAAGTTTTTTAAGTGCTATGGATTCTGGCTATTCTCCAGTCTTGATTTCAGCTACTTTTTTTAATACTTCTGCTACTTTTTTTAATACTTCTGCTACTTTCTTTAACACTTTGCCTTTTTCCACATTTTTACAGAATAAAATTCTGTTACGCAACCAGAATTCCGCTCTTCACTAAACTTTTTCACTAACTCACTTTAAAACTGTTCACTTTAGAACTAAAAACCACTGTGGTTTAAGTTCTTTAAATTTTATCGATTATCGAATCGATAAAATATAGTAGTTCCCTTTTTTATGATTTTTACAATCATAAACTTTTAAAGGAAAAACTTTATTTAAAATATTTCAGATATCGATTATCGAATCGATAAAATATTTCTGATTTTTACAATCATAATTTTTTAAAAGAAAATTTTTATTTCAAATATTTCTAAATAGATATCGATTATCGAATCGAAAAAATATAATAGTTCCCTTGTTACGATTTTTGCCATCATAGTCATAAGAAAAAACTTTATTTAAATTATTTCAAAATGTTAATTATTTCATCACTTCCTTTTTAAAGTTCAAAGTGATCTATCTCATATAATGGTATGTAAATATGCTAAATACATTACTTTAAAATATGTTAACTATTTGAGATATACCATTTTTTATATAATCAAAATCTACATTTCGACATTCATTATATCATTACTTCTCTTCTATATAACTATCTCCCTATAAATTAATAATTTTCTAAAATTATGTAAATATAAAGATTATGTTAAAGATTTTTCTTTATTTTCAATAAAAATATTCTAATACTTCTTTAAGGGTCGAGAAAAATAAAATCTATTTTATGTCACCACTTATTTTCTATATTCCAAAGTAAGCAATATTAATTTGCAAATTTCAATTTAAAATTAAGATATTTTGTAACATATTTTTAATAAAAAAACCATTAAACTTGTACTCACTCATTATCGATGGAATCCAAAAGATCTGGTGTTGATTGTCTAATTTTGCGTATTTTCTTCAATTCACTTTCGCGACTCTTTAAATCCTGCAATTCACGTTGAATTTTCAATTCCACTGGCACATAACCGGGACGTATGGGTCTACCCTCTGAATCACGTTCGATAACGGGAGCCGTTAAAGTAACGGTGGGTATAACCGGACTACGGGCGGCAAAATCGGGTGTCATACCTCCCATAGCAGCAGACATGGGTGTCATGGGTGTATTGGGCGGAGTACCGGGAGTATTAATGCCCAAAACAGCAGCCGCATTTTTACCATTCAAAAATATTTTATTTTGTGTGGCATTATTATTGTTATTCATTTGTAATTTACCGCGTGAAGCTATAAAACGTTGCATGACACCCTTGTGGGCCGGACTCAAAGTAAATTGACGTGGTGCCTTAATGGCGCTCAATAAAGGTGTGGATACCGTACGAGTCATTAATTTCTGCTGAGGAGGTTCAGGTGTTAGATTATAACAATTGGGACCAATATAACGTGGTTCTCTCGCCGCCAAAGGCGTTGAGGGTGTGGTCACTGGCTTATTAGCGTCATTGATTTTCTTTATATTGGCCGAGACACCATTTACCGGACTGGAAGAAGCCGATATACCCGAATCATCAGAATGATTATCCTCATCTTTGGTACTATGTACACTTAAAGCCAACGAGGGCATGCTAGAGTTTGTATCATCATGTTGACCATGTGGTGGTACAGGACTCAATGATTGCAAACAGTCGTTATGATTTTCATCGTGACCATTTAAAAGGTCTTTGTCATTCGTTGTTTCAACGCATTCGTTAACGGTAATGTTCGTTACTGTAGAGATCAGCTGGCGATATTCCTGCTCACGCCTTTCGACCTCTTTAATTTCCTCCTGAATACGCATTAAGGGATCAATTTTCTGCAAAACAAAAGAAAGTGAAAAAAAACGTTTATAAGATATTTGATACCTTGGGAGACAAAACTTAAACAAGAAATATTTAATTAGTAGGCTAAATGTGTGTATTCATATATTGTTTTAATTAAGCACTTTAAAGGTTTTACTGCTTAGTTTTAACTTATTTTAGGTCATAATTTAATGGCTTTTAAAATATAATTTATGTTTTTTGTAAAATAATTTATAATTATGTATAATGTTAGCTAATTTAGTTAAGATAAAAGTAAAAGTCTATTGTTTTATAAACATTTACATACATTTGCCAAAATTGTTTTAAAAAAAGTTTTGTTTTTGGAAACAAAACTCTAGTCAGGCTTAAAAACTAAACACATGCTGC